TCAGAATATATCGTTATACAATATGTCATTTGATAGATGAAAACCTTGACTTTCTATTGGTTATAGGTAATACATAACTATTAACAAATTCTGAAAGAGAGGATGTGCAAGGTAGGCATGGCAGGAGGGGTTTGATTTGAAGACTATAAAAATTATGGTTTGTCTGAGCAATGAAAATTTTAGAGAGGAATTTATATTTAATTCCGTACTTTTTTTGAGGGGTGGTGGATAAAATAGGGAAGATGACATGCTAAGACAAAATGTGTTATGTGGGTCACACAAGGGCAAATTCAGGATTTTTTTCATATTGTCTTGTAGAATTAAGAATTTAAAACTTATGTACTATTAAAATATGGATTATTAGCTAAGATTTTATACTATTCTAATTGGTATAACATAAACAAAAAGTAGTTTAATAATATTTTGAATGTAAGACACTAAAACTTGTGTCAGGCACAGTAAAGGATACTCGTAGCAATAGGGTTAAGAGAAACATATTGAAAAGTGAAACTGACAAATTAGGCATATAAAGTTCAACTTGTAAAATATTCACAAATTCTACCCAAAGGTTGATGATGATAATAATAATAATAATAAAAAAAAGAGAGAGAGAAAAGAATGGCAAAAAAGTATCAAAAAGATATTAGAACAGCAAGTTACATATACAAGTGGCACTCCAAAAGTCAAATTTAGGCTTACAGAAAGATTTTTAAAGTTAAGTTCTTACTTTGCTAACATGCTGAAGAACTATTTAGCTACAACTTTTTTTGCCCTCTCATACAGTACTCAGAAATTCAACATCACCTTAAAAAGATAATTTGCATCAAACACAGTCACCACAGAATCATGAACTAATTGTTAATAGCACTTGCGTTAAGTTTATCCAGTAAATGTGAAAAAAATAAACAATACTTACGCTCCTGGTCCACTCCACGTCCATGTGGCTAAATCCTTTGTAAAAAAAAAAATTCAACTATAACATTTAACCAAGTTAATAAAAAATTATTAACCATTTGAAAATAGTAAACAAAACTAATTCTAAAGGTCTCTTGGCTTTAACTGTGGTCAATAGCAAAACCATGAATAAAGTTGTATTCATTTTTACAATAAATATAACCAATATAAAATAAAATATTTTTCCTAAGTTTGCACAGTTATGGAAATACAGGCATTTTTTCTGCACATGTCACGAGGTTTTAATAGTTACATTCTAAACTTAACTAACCCTTTCGAGATGGAGTCACACGTTAAAGGCTGTGTTATCTCGTTTGTTGACTCACATTCAAAATTTTATTGAACTACTATTTCATGAATTTATATCAATAAGTTTGGTATGAAACTGTAGATAAACACAGATAAACAACGATTTTTGTGTGTCACGTGGTATGTTGAATGCAGCACTGGTTCAAATTATAACCAATAGAAAGAGCAGATTTTGCCCTTCAAGGTCGTTTATCCTTACATGAAACATATGGTATAGATCTGTTTCAACGTTGTTTAAACAAGGCTAAGTTTATTGTTGAGAGTGGTGTCACTTGGCAATTTTCTCTCACCTCATATGCATTAGTTTGATTGACAGTTACATTGCATTTAGGTTTTACTTTTATATTTCAGTTAATCGTGTATTATTTGCGTTTTAAGACTTATATTTGAAAGGTTTAATTATTTTTCCGATTATTCTATACTTTGAATTACTAAAACAACTTTGAGACATGAGTGCAAGAAATATTATGCTGGAGGGGCTAAACCTAACAGCTGAAGTTACCGTAACATCGCCTGTGTGTCAACATAAATAAAGATAAAGAATGGGAGTGGAAAATAAAACATTAAGAAAATAAAGACATGAAATTATGCATATCAATCACACATGATATTATTAGAGAAATTAACAAAGAGTTAAAAGGTATGTACATATTTCTATTTCTTAATTATAAACATTTCATTGCATTATATGTTAATGATAATAGCTAGGGTTAGTGATGTTGTACAGAAAATGGCAAATAAAATATAAACATTTACCTTAAAAAATTTTGATATTTATTTAGGAGGTTTTAAAGATTATGCAAGTGAAATATGAAAACTGTAAGGTAAAAATTAGTATTTTTATATTTAACATGAAAATCACTTTGCAGGTGAACTATTCAGAGTCCGAGTGCAAATAACTTCCTTAAATAATGAATTTTTATTAAAAGAAGTAGAAAAAATCAAAATTAAATATTTTATTTTTCTGATCTACATACTTTTAAGAACATTTGTTTTTAAATTTTAAACAATTTCACCAACTAGTTTTATTTTTGTAACAAAATATGATGAGAGCAATGTTGTCTACAAAAACAAATCAGTAGTCAGTAGTCATAGACTTAAAAATTAAGAATTTTTTTTGTCTACAAATGACTTAATGATTACTGAAAGGTTGTGAAACTTCTTGAAGATAAACAAAACATATTAGAAGTTATAGTATGGAAACTATAAAGGTGAATTTGGGGTCATAAACTTGGCCAATTGACTGAGCCTGTAGTGAGAAAGTTAAAAAGTAAAAAATCTTATTTATCAAATTATACTAAACATGCTCCTAATACAGAAATTACTAGTTCTCAATAATAAATTTGGGACACAGACTGATTTCTAGAGTACCTCACAACCAAAGTCTTACCAATGTGTTGGGATATTTAATGCACACTGGCTGCACAGGAACCCCTGGATAAAATGCACCTATAAAAAACATAAGCAAAAATGTTTTTAATTGTAAAATAAAACATTAAAAATAAATTATAAGTGAAACGATAAAAGAATGCTTCAAGTAGTAATGTAGTTTTTAACATTCTATTCTAGTTCTTGATACACTTTTAGTGTTCTAAAATCTATATCTGAAAGCTAGATGAATTATGTGAACATTAAATAACCTTGTTCAAATAAATTCTCAAGTACAAATGGGCTAAGGTAGGTACTAAATTTCTAGTTTTTTATGTATACTTCTATATGTTATATATTTCTTAATATAGCTAAGTAATACATAAAAGAAAATCTTATCAGGTTAGATAATATAACTGAAAACAAATTCTTATGATTGCTTACTCAACTTCACTCATGCAATTTACACAGCGTGAGGTCACATGATGAAACTTTATTTACTGACACTAAACCTGTCCCACTATGATATATTGTTTCACATACTGAGAGACAGTCTAATAGCACTGGAAATTAACAAAACTGAAAGGAACCATACATGAAAAGATTAGAAAGCCCAGGTTGTTAAGTTGAATAACTACAATTGTCTGTTATCTGCAATCACTTTAGAAAAAACAACAAAGTATTTGATTTTTAATTTCATGTACATTGATCATTTTGCTACTGTTAGTGTTCAGATAAGAGAAAATATGAAATAACATAAAATTTTCCTTCTCAAAACAATCTGATATTCATTTTGGAAGTTTTACAGATTATGTAAATAAAACATGTAAACTGTAAGATGAAAACCATCTTTCACTCAGACTGACTCAGTAAAAACTTTGTAAATTCACAAATCTTTATTATAAATGCTTTACTTAAAAATCTAATATTTTTGTGTACAACAGACTTGAAATGTTTATTAAAAGTTTGGCAGATTTTGTGAAGGTGCACTTAGTACATTCAGACTTATAATATGTATACTTTTATGATTGCATGTTGGTTAAAAGGTCAGTCAAACTGCATCCAATTGCATACACAGAATTAATTGTATCATCCCAGCTTTCACAAGCAGAATAAGTATGTTTAGCAATATTATTAAGAACTAACAATAGTATTCATATTACAAGTTGTTCTTGTTTTCATTAATATATTCACTTTTCTGAGCATAAATAGTAGTATTTATTACATACACATAAACACTTTTGAATTCACCCTCACACACCGAGACTGTAAGTTAGAAGTTATAATTTTCCTCTACTCAAAATGTATTTCCAATAGGTACTTCCCTCTACAAGATTAGCTATTCTCATCCAGTGCTGCCATCTATATGCAAACTTTTTACTTTATACATGCCACAAGCCTTCTGCTCCCCCTTGTTGGAATCATTTGATTCCAACATGTATCTCATGCAAATCCTCATGCATAACTTCTCCACCAATAGGAGTGTGACATATATGATTCCCTTTATATGCCTCTACTGAGCTATCACTTCAAAGTTTTGCAGAAGATATAAGCACTGGAGGAAAGTGGGAAGAAAAGGTGAGTGGAGGGAGGTACCTATCGGAAATACATTTTCAGTATAGGAAAATTGGAACTGGAAAGTGGTAAGGCCTCCCATACTCCACTAGAAGAAAGGAGGGTGAGAATGCATTGGAGATTCTGGAGGAACAGCATAACCTGAGACAGTGCAATGGTGACCATGAAACCTTATTTTGAATAGCAGACCATATCAATCTTTCAATACAAGGCATGGCAGGGATGGGCAGCTATCCCCTTCTACTTTACTCATGCAGTACATGGGTGGTATGGTCCAAAACAGGCAAGTTTATAAAGCAATTACATCACTAGTTTATTCACCTACAAGCAATCTTGTGGAACACACCATCTCAATTGTGAGCATTGCAATGCCATGAAAATAAAAGTGGCTGTACAGTGCATATTTCTGATTGAAGAATACCTGGTCAGACACCACTTGCCACAGAGTGGAATCCCTGTAAAGAATAAATGAAGCAAGGGCCTTTGAAATGAAAAGAATGTATGAATAGAGACTTACCCAGTCGAAGTCGCTCCGAAGCTTGAAGAACAGCCATAGGTGGCAGATGAAAATCCGATGAAGAAGAATCCACGATATGGTGTAAATAATGGAAAATGAATATACTAAGTGAAGATGAATATGCCCGATTGTAGGATTTCCTCCAATGGCCGATGAAGACGAGATGCAAGGGAGTAGGTGAGGTGTCGAATCTGATGAGAAGACACCCTGAACAAATTTTGATGTGAAGAAGACAAGGTGGAATAAACTGATTGAATCAAGCATCGAACATAATTGGTGAGGCTAGAAGGGGATAGATCACAAACAGAGGAAGACTACAAAGGGATAAAAAGTTGGGAATAGGTACAGCAAAAGGAAGCTGTGAGGGCAATTTAGCAACAAAGGGTACAGACCACACATAGAAGTCTATCCTGATTGAGACAAGGGTAGAGATGAGAAATAGAAGGACTGGAATGGGTGAGAGAGACCCCTAATGAAGTAATCGCAAGAAGCTCGAAGACATTGATATGCAAAGACTTATCACTGACAGACCAATGACCTGAAGCACCCCAGCCCTGAAGGGATGCACCCGTGAACAGATGTAAATCCAGTCAAGGAAACAGGATGCCCACCAACGTATGGGCCTTATTCAACCACCAAAGCAGATCATCCCAAACGGTACGAGGAAGGGTAATGGGAGCTGCCAAGGGATCCAGAGCAAGGTTCCAGTGATCGTGAAGACCCCACTGAAGAGATTGCATATGTAAATGATCAAGGGGGGCCAGTGACTTCAGTGAAGACCACATCCCCAAAAGCTATAGAACCTCAAGAGCAGAAAGTGAGTGGTGAACTAACAATTCCATGAAACAAAGTCTTAGAGGAGAAGGTTTGGCTCGACTGAGAGGATAAGATACTAGGTTGGACGGAAGAAGGACTTCTCCAATGTGATTAACCAGCACACCCAAGCAGTTACATGACAAAGCTGCTGACAATGGCTGGCCGACTCCAGTTCGGAATGAGCCAGAAGAAGCCAGTTGTCCATATAATGGTGGAATCGCAGCCCCAGAGCATGAAAGTGGTGAGCAAAAGCTCTGACTACCCGACAGAAAACATAAGGGGCAGAAACAAGCCTGAAGGGTAGGGTGCAAAATTGTTAAACCACCCCCTGATGGATGAACTGAAGATACAGATGAGACCGTGTTGAGACAGGGATGTGTAGATAAGCATTGGCGATGTCCTTCTTGATCAACCATAAGTCCAGAGAAAATGCCCATCGTAGGGTGAGAAATGACTCCATGGTAAAATGGGGCAGTTGAACAAAACTATTGAGATGGGACAAATGGATGGCAGGCCTCCAGTCCCAGTTTTCTTGGGAACAAAAAAGTCTGGAATAAAAACTTGGTGAAGTATGTAAAACAGGTTCGATGGCCTGCTAAGATAGTAGGTCCTGTACCACCTCCAACAAACCCTGGCCAGTCATTGGATCCTGAGGCAGAGGGAAGGAAACAGGTCTAGGAGACACGGGAGGTGGGGAAAAATGGGATCACAAGTCCTTTCGGTAAAACTTGAAGAACCCAATGATCCTTGTCAAAAGGACACCTTTGGTGAAAAGAATCAGCAAGTCGAGCTCCCACTGGACCACAACCTATTGGGTAGTCACCGATACTGTTGGCAGATAGGCAGATAGGAAGTCGCGGTCATCCACTGCATACTGATCTATCCCCAGTCGTCTTGACTTGTTCTTGCCACTGGATCCGGATGGGAAGGGAAGAGAGAGTGAGGTCAACGACTCGCGCAACTCTTCCTCACTATAATCCAAGTCCAGCGCACGTCACGGGACACCAAGCCATATATGCCGGGAATGTGGTCGAGGCTTCCTGGCTAGGATAGGACTCCTGAGCCATCTCCGTATCCACAGATAGACCAAATGATGTCGTGGTCTTCTTCGAACTTCGAAGGACGAACAACAACAGTGGCAACATGATGTGCATCATTGAAGAAAACGACGAGATGAGGCACCCCAAGAAGGTGGGACAGGAAAGGGTTGGGAAAGAGAAGGACGGGAAATTGTAAAAAGTGCCATATTGGGCTCCAATGGAGATAAAAAGGCAACAAGATTGGAAAGAGTAGACTGTTGTTGTACTGGTGCAACTCATGACTCTAAGGACTCAGGGATCATGTCAAATATGTAACACTGCAAAAATGGGGCCATACATAAATCCTGAAGATAAGATGCTGGTAAATAGATGCAAGTTAAGGACGCATCACGACCTAAAAGGTACCAACAATAGAAAAACCACATATGCAAAGCCAGAGCCAAAGACAACAAAAGGATGTCATGGATGTCACCAGAACACCCCTTAGAATGTCAGTGGAGAGCCTCAGAGAGGAGATGTATGGTAGAGATACCATAAAAAAGTTGTGAGGGTAAGACAAAGGCAGAAAAATTGGGTATGGGTCAGACTTACAAAAGATTTGGGGACCATCCCCCAAGAGCAAACTGATCTGAAGCCTGAGAGGAGAGGGGGAAGCATGATAAACCCATCACTTAATTGGGAGGCAAATTGGTCAGCATGTACTTGAATATCTGGGGAGGGGTGAAAAACAAATAGGGATGTGAAGATTGGTCATGTAGTAAGGAAGGATGCGGTTCATACGAAACAGGGTCAAGGGATAAAACATCACATACCTGAGAAATGAAATCCAAAAAGATCATAATATGCTTCACTGCCTCCCCAGGAGGGGCATGGGAAGGCATAGTAAAATCAAGAGGTGGAAATAAGCAATCCAAGTCCTCGTCAACCTGAACAAGCTCAGCATGTTCGGGAGGAAGTGGGGCGAGGTCCAGAGATAGAGGTTCACCCATGTAACATTCAATCTCCCTGCAAATAAACACTGATAAATCTCCCACTGGGTCACCCTCACCTGAGGCCTGAGACATAGCGCTCGTCCGAAATGTGACCCCCGAAGTGGTAACATAATCAAGAAGAATCAACAAAAATCAAAATTATTAATAATAATGCAACTGCAATAAACTGGGATTAAAGTGAAAAAACAGTTTTAATAAACTTAGAAGTAATTTAAATGAAAACCACTTCACGAGTATACTAAAGTTGAACATAAAATTTGAAATAAATAAAGGAACATGTTCAAGCACAAGCACTGCCAAACGAGAAGTGGTAGTTTGGTAGAGGCATATAGAGAGTCACATCCATCACGTATGTCATGCTCCTATTGGTGAAGAAGTGACAAATGATGATTTGCATGAAAGACATGATGGAATCATTTGATTCCAATAGGTGGGAAACAGAAGGCTTGTGGCATGCATAAAGAAAAAAGTTTACATACAAAGGGCAGCACTGGACAAGAATAGCTAATCTTGTGAAGAAAGAACTTAACATCTATATTTTTTGTCCACATGGTATGCAAATGAAATTTTTCATACATACCTGACTTAAAAGAAATGAGACACGATCGATTAGTACAAGTTCCTTCAGGAAAAATCACAATTTGATCCCATTCACCCTCAGAATAAGCTCTTCTTTTTATCTCATCAATAGTTTGCTGTCGAGAGAGTGGGTTGTCTCTGGTCACATACACTGGCTGTGTAAAGTTGATTAAAGCTAAAGCCATAAACAAAAGCAATTCAACTTCACTTTTCTTGCTTCAAAGAAGAGTTTAAAGACAAAGTAATTAAAACAGATGACCATCCTTAATGTACAAAATTCAGTGAATTCTTTTATTTTTTAGAACATTTTCAATTCTCATAATAATATTTTTTAACACTCAATGTGGCAACTGAATCGCCTATTTCTTTAATCAATAGATGGAAATGAACTATCTAAATCAACAAATTTTCATATGCTTTAATTAGTAAAATTTTGATGTTTCTACAAATTACGTTCTTCTCAGCTGAAATTTCATAAAATCACATGTTGCTTAATGCTTAGTAAATACCATATGGGTGTATGTACAACTATACTGCAGAAAGCTCACAGTTTATAACTTTTTGTGAAGTCTTGGACTGCTTATGACATGCAACATGAGTAGGATAGGCCGTATATGAAATCCTCAAACACAATCTTCCGAAAGATTAAGCCCTCATACACCTACATTAATCCCAGGAAATTTGCAACTTTCTTGATGAAAATTTCAGACAATTCATGGTGTAAATGTGAGGGGGCTGCACTTCATTATTACAATAAACTACACAAACTTCTTTTCATGTTGAAATTATGTAATTCCTTCTATATGTAAAAAAGATCGCATTCATTTGATGATCTCATCCAAGTGCAATAATAATATCAAGCTGTCGCACCACCAGATGTGCTGCAGCAAATGTGGGGTGTGTGAAAGGAGGACATATTTAACTTATATAATGCACCTACCAACAACTCAAATGTGAGGTTTTTAGACTAAACCTTTCATCAATTAACTTCAATAAATGTACACAACTCATATTCTGAATTAATAAACCTTTGCTTTTTCTCTACTGAAATATAAGTCCCGCACTTACACATTAAAACATTTTCATAATTTGGTAAATGAAGTTTAAGGGACATGATACTTTCATTTATATTTCTTTTATATAACAGGAAAGAAGACAACAGCTGGATTTTGTTTTGCAAAAACAGCAACAAATATGATAACCATGTCACAGACGTTATTTTAATTGTTTAAAAAATGGAACAGCATGGTGTATAAACAACCTGTGAAGCAAATTCTAACCTCAATTTAATGTTAACAACAAGGTCCTCGTAAAGTAAAGCTTTGCGTAAAAATAGTATATGAACTATACAAGTTGAAACACAAGTTGATGTTTTTTCATCCTTTACAAGGGATTTTACCTTACAAGATATTGTACAACAAGTCAAAAAATTTAACATGAAGCTCTTCATAAAACACTGCATCAAGATATACAACTGAAAAAATAACTGTTTCACCAGACGAGAAAAAAATTAAATATAAGCAAACTTGGTTTAGAGTTAAAGACTGCAATTAAAATGCAATATAAAAAGATCAAATTAATGGTATTAACTTTGTAAAAGTTTAACAATCTTTATTTCTAAAAAGAAATTTCTTCAAACACACATTATGCTGGTTTTCAAATCTTGAGATTTAATTCAACTCACAACATAAAGTTTTATTCTATAACCTTAGCAAGTATACATAAACTAATATACCATGGTCTTTTCCTTCACTACCCACCACCAAAAAATGGAGTATTTTCAGATTCAGTCTTGGCAACTACTGATGGACCACCTAGCATTACAATGGGCAACACGTCAAAAAGACTAGAGTGTGGTGCAAGAGTAAGTATTGGAGCTTCTTTAGGGGAGGCTTGTTTTCCTTTTACTGTTACCCAATGCCATCCTCCTATCAAGAACATCAGCCTCAGCATCAACAAAATGAAAGGCTTTAAATATTGTCTGAAAATATAAGAAAATCATGCAATAACCAAATTCTCTCTCTCTCTTTTCACTATTCTTTTAATAAGGCTGTTTTTTCTTTATCTAGCTTTTGGTAATATATTGAATAGTTTCCATACAGATTATAACTTAAAGATTTAACACACTCAATTATGTAAATACTTAATTACTCATTACAAGGTATATTTTAATGATCTTTATAAAATAAGTATTTTGTGTTTTTACTAAAATAATTAAACTTGGCCTCCCACTACGATGGTATACAAGTTTATCCATTAAAATTGTAATTTTTTTCTTTTGAACAATAAGCATTTATAAACACAACCCAAACTCACAGGATGACACACAAAAGATTTTGGGTATAAAATTATATGTGATGGTGAAAATCATACAATTTCCAACTTTGCCATATGATTAATACATTTATAGGAAAGGGGGGATACAAGAGCTGGTGGACAAAGTGACCTTGAAAATGATGTTGCTTACCATAAGATGCCATTAGGAGTTGCGGCTATTAAAGTGAGTTTGATGCCAGTTCATTCAATGGCCTACAATTAGTGTTTGTTACAACCACCCAATGTAAACCTTTGAGCAAAAAATCATATTCTATTTTCCATGACTTACATATCTGTAGCTATGTTTCATACCCCTGTTTATCACGTCCAACTTCATTTGCAGTTGAAACAGATGGAAGAAAAACTGAACATTTGAGGTACCTTGTATTGATACTAATGTATTCTTAACATTTTACAATGTTTCAAGGTCATCTCGTGGCATCACCTGTAATTATTAATTTTTTCATATGTGTTCTATATATTTCTTATACACATGAACCAACTGACAAAGCTATAAGTTGTGTGTTTCTCCCAACATCTATATATTTATACTCAAATTTATCCAAGGCCAGTCAGCCAACCATATATGTGTCTGAGTGTGTATGACAACAAAACACATCAACATTCACTGGAGATAAACTAATTTCACCAATTACCATGTGTTCACATATATTCTAAGTCCTTTAACTGTTAATAGCCAATATAGAAGTAGAGAGGGAGTTGCTAAGCAATGTAAAAACATAAGTAACATTTTTGTACTCTGTGACTGAGATTTTATAAACATTTGATTTATTAGAATAACAATTATCTGGATAAGATAAGTATTTTCTTTTTTCTTACTAGTTTAAAGCAGCTAATATAGTGTATTTGAGTTAGAATTAAAGATTTTGTTAAGCTTTTTATTTCTTCAGGTACAGCAAAGCCTAAAGTTATGACATAGGCTTAATCGTAATACTAATACTAGTTTGTTTTTAGGTAACAGATTATAAGAATTTTATTAGTACTTTACTAAGACAATAAAATTATTAAACAGTAGAGCTGGGTAATTAGTTGTATTTCTAATCAATTAATGAATGGCCTCATTAATCTATTACATTCAATTAAATGATTAAAATAGTGTTTCTAAAAACTGCAGTATGTATACAAATAAAAAAACAAGTTGGTAGTGGGTACTGCCAGTCAATTGTCTTCCTTCTAGTCAGCAGTTTAAAATTACTGACAGTGGCCTTAGTAGCTTTATCATAACAAAAAAAAAAAGGATGAGCAAATTTGGTAGCCATAGGATTCAAATCTTATTCCCGCAAATCAGTTTCTACTAATGATGATTCAAGCAATATTCCTCATCCTGAACAGTTGCTAGGTGGAGACAAGATGATCATATTAATTCAGAACTTGTTAAGAAAAAATTTGGAAGTTAAAGAGTGATAAAGCTCCTAGGCCATATAATATTTACCTAAGAGTTTTAAAAAAGGTTAAGGATTGAATATGTGAGCCACTTACTACTATTTTTTCTAAGTTCCTGAATAGTGGGTAGGTGTCAGAAGATGAGAAATTGGATAATGTTACTCCTCATTTAAATGGAGATTATAACTGTCCCATTAATTATATGCCTATTAGTTTTACATCAATGGTTGGTAAAGTTTTTGAAAATTTGATAAAAGATAACTTGCAAAGTCAACAAAGTTTATAATTTTGTTCAATAGCCATCATGGTTCAGTAGAGGAAACATCTACCCTTACTAATCTTTTGACATTCTTTGAAAAGGTTATTGCTTATGTAGACGAGGGTAAGGGTGTAGATTTGGTGTATCTGGATTTTCAGAAAGTATTTGACAAGGTGCCACATATAAGACTTCTAAAAAAGGGGTGGGGGATAAGTTAGCTAATTGGATAAAAAGAGTGGCTGGATGGAAGAAAACAGAGGGTTATTGTAAATAGAGTTCACTCAAACTGGATTAATGTCATGAGTGCAGTACCTCAGTGTGCACTTTAGGACCTTTGCTCTTTTTGACTTACATCAATTATATAGGTGAAAGAATAGTCAATAAATTACTTAAATTTGCTGATGACAAAAGTTTTTGGGTGTTGCTGGCTCTGAAGATCTTGCTTCTTCACAAAAGGATTTGGATTATTTGGTAAGTTGGGTGAATAAATGGCAGATGGCCTTTAACTATTAGAAATGCAAGGTAATTCATTCAAGGTATCATAATTTCAATTCTGATTATAATTTTGATGGGAATAACCTTAATAGTGTTATGCAAGAAAAATATCTTGACTTTCTGGTTTATCAGTCTCTTAAGCCATCCAAGCAATGTGCTGTTGCTAGTGCCAGAGTGAACAGGATTTTAGGTTATATGTACAGAAATACTGAATACAAGTCTGATTAAGTTATAATACCATTGTATAGGTCCTTGGTTAGGCCACATTCAGAGTACTGTGTTCAGTCTTGAGCTCCTTACTTTAGAAAATACATTGAATTGTTGGAAAGGGTTCAATGGAAGGTTACTAGGATGATACCTGGGATGAAAAGGTTGTCATACAATGATATCTGTACTTCTCTTCAAAAAAAAAGAACTAGTAGGATCTGTTTGAGGTGTTTAAAATTGTTAAGGGAATTCATAGTGTTCACACATTATCTTTTTTCATATCTAATGGTGAAAATTTAAAGACTAGGGGACACTAGTGTAAATTTTGTCAGGGCAGGATTCATCTTCAACTAAGACAGCTTTATTTTACTAACAGGGTGGATGGCCTTTCAAATATATTGCTTTCAGATGTGGTAAATGTAGTTAACTTAAGGAAAAGCATGAAAAATATTTGAATGAAAATGTGTGGCTTTGAGTTTTTTTAGTATTTAATGGATAGAATGGTTTACATGGACCACAAAGTCCTTTGTTGTCTCTTAATATAATGTTATGATAAAATCAGATTAGATTTTCTTTTCTATTTGCTGAGATATCACTCATGTACTGAATCAAACATAGTGGCCCCACTCACCCTTACCATTTTGGAAATGCTCATTTATATACACTTATTT